GTTTTTTTTTAATTTACTTTCTGAAGAATTTTTCAAAATTTGCAAAATATGACTTAATAAGCACATGTAAAGGAAATAAAATTCTCAGATAATGAGGCCAAATACTGTGGCAGACACAGGAAATACCTGCTTGCTTTTTTTATTTCCTAGCCAGGTCAGATAAACATTTCTGTGTGCGCATAATTTATTTCTTTCTTCCTCACACACGTAGGAAGCCGTGGGGGGGACCTCAGGGATCCACCAGATGGGCAGCTGGGATATGGATGCACACCCAGCAGAGAAATGGCTTCAAAGGCCACTTCAGAGTTATCTCCAAGCCTGGCACACTCCAGCTGGCTGTTGGCACCCTGGGCCAGATGACAGTGACACCATCGAGCCCCTGTGCTGATCCACCGGTGATGGCACATCCTACATAATGCTAAATGCTTTTCTAGTCTATGTGACAGGTCCAAGAGCAAACACAAAGGGTCACGTAATTAACTTATGTGTGAATCTCCACATGCTCAACACTTACAAGAGACATCAACTTGAAGCACAAATACACAAACCCTACCGTGTCTTCCTCTTCTTTTATATTTCTCATTTATATATGGATACAAATACACCACTCCATCTGGTTCTTGTGGTTCTAACCAAACCCCGTGCTACAGGAGAAACTCCAGGCTTCAAAAAGCAGCTCAGACCCTCTGCTCATGCAAGCAGAACAGCAGCCCCTCGGCAGCAGAGCAGAGTGCTGGGACTGGCACTGTTGCAGCAGGGGAGAAAGGTGTGTTTTCCCCTGGAAATGCATCACTAAAGCAATTCTAATTTCTGTTGCTGCAGCTTGCTCAAGCCTGGCTTGCTCACACTTTAAAACTCGCAGTAGAACATTGGCCACAAATGGTGGGATTTAGTTCTTCTACGCATTATTTTCCACAAAATACTCTCCTGGCTCAGGCTGATCAAAATTAGGACTCCCCCTTCATTACATCATTGAAACCATTTTTTTCTCTTGCACATCACTTCCTCATCCTCTGTAAGTGATTCTGTCTCTGCAGGTTTAGCACAATGATTTTCTCAGAACATGTGACTTGCAGAAAAACGCAGTAGCAGCTCAGCGTTCACTAACAAATCTTGGACATTTTGTACAGTCAAAGTACTTTTGACGTTTGTTACATCATTCACAGTCTTGAGGAGGAAGGGAGGAAAGAGAAATCCATGGGTTCTGCAAATCCACTTCATCCATGATAAAGCCATAAATAAATACACTGTCAATGTAGCATCATGAGTAACTGATTATTGTCATTTCCGCTGGGCATTCACAGAGCAAGAGCTATGCAGACACAAATGAAACTGTAAATGTATGCTGTGGGTGGGTGCACACTCTGAAAACCAAACCAGGACCCCTCACCTGCAGGTGCCTGCCAGACTGTCCTACCCACATCAGGGACAAAGGGCAGCAGCGAGTCACAGAAGGATGTGGAGAGAGGAGGGAGAAAGGCCATGTCTACAGTGCTGTACATCAAAGCACATCCATCCCACTGCTGTTTCCTATGTTATGAACGAGTAGCTCTTTAAGGCAGAAGAGAGACATTCTGTGGATCTTGGTGCTATTGGCTCATTGCACTCACATTGTTTCAGTGGCAGAGGACGAGGTACTTTTCTTCCTGAAGCGAGGTCTAAGGGTCCTAGGCGGTGCCTGCAGAAAAGCAAGACAAAACTTCAGAGGCATAATAAGAAACATCTTTTTTTTTCCTTACAATTCACCCATCTTTGTGGGACCTCTGCGACAAGGATCCCATTCCATGCATGAAGTAATGCAGAAGTTTTGGCCCTGAAGATCAGTAATGAATGGCCAGCTGAGGATTAATTTCTTTAAGAAACCTGTTGTGTACTCAAGTTACATCCACACCTTCCCCTCTTAGTTAAAGGTGTGGCTAAAGATTGCTAATAACTCAAAAGTTGAAAGAGCCAGGTCAAACTGGTGCCATTTACAGCAGCTCTTGGATCTAGAGATCAAGCTGGTGGCAGGAAGCCAGGTCTGGTGTCTCCCAGCCCATCCTGCCCTGTCCAACCCATCCACAGCTCCTCTGAGGGTACAGATCATGGCATAACAAAGCTGAAGGGGTCTCCAAGGTGAAACACACCAGGCCTGTAATTCTCATGAGGTAGAACTCTTTAAAATCACCCTCTTGCTTGGGAAAGAGGCCAGACAAAATCTGTTGAAATAATTTTAGAAACCAGATATTGGAATTTTCTGCCTTGTAGTCAGCTGTTGCAAAGCTTTCACAAGGAGCCCAGACTGCCCAGGAGGAGGCAGACCAACTCCATGAATTTGGTTTCCTGTGGTTAACCCTGTTCTCCAGACTCAGACAGACATTAGTTAGGCTAGCAAACAAATCAAAGAAAAAGCCCTAATCTGCAGTGTCTACTTCTCTCGGAAGAGTTCTGGTGTGGCATTGTGTCTCATGAGCTTCACAACAAGAAATGGTTATCAGATATTGTAACAGAGCATGGATTCTCAGCCCTGTCACTGCATCAAGGAACACTGCAAGGTGTGGTAGACTCTGCTACTCCATTTACATAAATATCCAAAGCCTTGTTTTCTTAATAGCATTAACCTATATTTACCTGTAAGGGCCTGACAACACCAAAGCAAGGACTTTGTAATTTCTGTTTTACAGGATTTTCACACCCAAGGCTGGACCATGTTTTTGCATTCCCATGGTGCTGCAAGGTATAAATATTCATGTAGACAAGGGACTGCAGCATGTTGAGATTTTGTTTAGACTCCACCTAAATACCCACGATTGTCTAGCTTGACCATAAACCAAAGTAGTTTCTCATGGAGATGGGATTAATCCAACACTTCACCCCATCTTCCAAGCCTGAAATCTTACCCCAGCTGCCCATGGTGAATCCCCATCAGCACAAGAGATGTGGATGGGATGGCTGTGCCCAGAAAGCACAGCTGGAGCAGGGGTGAGGAGAAAAGCTGCTGTGCACGGCAGTGATGGATCCCACACCACACCTGACTCCATAGCTGCTGGCTCAGAGTAGCTCTCTGCAAACCAGGAGCCCAGGAGCCAGACAACGAGAGCAGTACCTCCTGCAGCTTGGGAGAAGGCTGCTCTTTGGGAAACCCTGTGGCTCTTAAAGCAAAGCTGTCATTAACTGCACAGCCAAGACTCTTAGAGGGGGCATGAACAGCTCTGCCTCCTTTGGGAGGCCACTGGGCAGCTCTGGGAGTAGCTGGAGAGGCTGCACCTTTCCATGGCTAGAACAGAGCAGCCCAGACTTTGGTGAAAGCCCCCACAGGTCGGACAACCCAGCAGAAGGGATTGCACCTACTGACCAAACCATACCCCTCTGCTCCCTCACACTGAGCCAAGGGAGGGAACAAACTCGGCTTCCCACAGGTGGAGATCTCACCCTGCCCAGATCTGCAAAGACTCTTTGCCTACAGCATCTCCCACGGAGGTTTTATTTCCTCCATAACAAAACTTTGCTAAAATTTTGGCAAATCACACAGTGAGATCTGCATTTCCTTTAGTTCTTTTGTTCCCATGAAGCAACTTAAAGTGTGTTTAGTGAGTTTAGACCAAAAAGGTGTTTGTTCAGTTGAAGATTCCAGTTGAAGAATGAAGGAATGTCATAGAAGGAGGAGCCTCGACAATATGAAAGTACCTCAAGGGGTTGATCCTTCTTTTTGGGCCTTTTGTTCATGGATGCACAATCATTCTCTTCATCATCAGAGAACACTGAGCCTTTTGTTTCAGGGTTTTTCTCAGGTGGCTTTTCATACCTAATGTCCACACTTATTTCACCTATTTAACACAGCCATTTGCAGCCTAAATGTGAAGACACGGGATGAGGAAATCAGTGATGGTTTGATTCACACAAACGTCACTCACTGCCAAGCCATGCATCTTCCAGGGATTAATAGACAGAAGGGTCACACATCACACTCTAAAAATAGCAGCTGTGGGGTTAGAAATCAAAAGGCCCTTGTTTACAAAGCCATTATGAAGTCTATTTTCATTATTTTACATGAAATTGAGACTAAATTCACAGCTTCTGATGTGTGGGAGGTTGACACTAGAAAGAGATTTTTTGTTAAGTTTGTTTGTTTGCTCAGGGATAAACAAAATAACTAATTTCTTGAATTGCTGGTTCCATCCATAGCTCCTGCATCTACTGTTTCCTCTAGACGACTCCAAATGAATGTTGAAGTCGTCTGATAAGCACAGAGAGATCTGCCTGGGATGTAGAAACAGGAAACACAGCATCACTTACAGACTTGAAACTGAGAGTGGTCAAGGCAAGCACTCAGTCTGACATCCACTGAAGGTCACAAAAAGCTTCACCAGGCATTGAATGGACTCTCAGCAAGTGGGTGTGTTGCTGGAAAACCAGTGCAGGGAAAAGTCTGTCTTCTGTCCCTCTGTAGTAAATGTGGTGGAGCATTAGCTCTGCTGATGGACCTGAAGGCAGTTTATTGCCCTATAACTGTAGATCACAAACACTTGGTGGTTCTTACCCTTGTAACTTATGGCATTATGTTTGTAGGACTGGTCGTGTTACACACCACAATCCACTTGCTGCCTAAACACAGACAGTAAATGGCACAGTATTTTGAATGACCAGTCCAAAGCAAGAGATACAGAAGAGGAAACTCAACATGACCAAGATTCTTGTTCTCCGGTTTCTTATCAGCAGGGCTGGAGGTTTTTCTGTTTAATTGAGAAAGCTTTTTTGATTCTGAAATATGGCAGGAGTGGAACTATTTGCTGTTTAGGTGTCACTAATCAGAATAACCGAGTCTGTATTTTGTTCCATGAACATACATAGAAATAATGCTCTGTGCTTCTTGTCTCAGCCTGACTGCAAGAGTCTGCTGGACCAAAGACTAAACCCCAAAGACTGAAACCAAAAAAGGTTCTTAAACATCCAATACTTACTAATCCCTTTTGATTCTTAAAGCCAAAAAGAACTGAATTCTTCGATAGCTCTTTCAATTGGGTATCAGACAGAGGGGAAATGATTTGGCTACAGCAACACCACGAGTCACGAGCAGGTCACTGGGGCTCTCTCCAGGGCCAAATTAAAGTCAGCAGCTAATCGCTCCCAGCCCACAGGATGCAGCTGCTGCTCGAGACAGCAGCCTGTGCACAGCATCCTCTGCCTACTGACCCCTTGTTTCTACCCCTTTATCACCATTCACATGGGCAGGCTGGAAAACACCACTGCAGGTTTTCAGGAAGAGCTGGAAATTGACTTTCACCCCAGCTGTGCTGAAGATGTTGAAAAGCACATTGCAGTGAGGCCCAGGATAATGCTGAAATGTTTTTCTTCTGTGTAGGACTATAGTGTGAAAACTGCACTCTGGGGAGAACTGAATGTGCTCTAGACCACATGCCAAGACAGTACAGGAATGTTTTGGTTCACTATTTTATTCCTCCACTTGGGAAGTGATCTACCCAGGAGCAGCCTAGCTCAGACCCTCTTGGATGTGGAAGCTGTTCTTTGCTGCTTGCCTAAGCCAAAACAAAATTTAGTGAAATTTAGTAGAAGCAAAAGAGGTCAGGACCTCTTTTAATGTCCTCACTGAGGTTTGCACAGTGGCCCAACAACATATTTCCAGCCATGTGCCACTGAGACCAGACAGGGGCTTTTACCAGGGAAAAAGGGGACAGGATGTAGGGATGTTGGAGAACCAGAGTTAGGGTGCTCAGTGACCAGAGTGAGGAGAAACTGGCTGCTGAGGCTGAGTGGATAGAATCACGAAAATGTGCCCTGCTCCCACTCTACAACCAGCCACTCCACTGGAAAAGGAGACAGAAGGAACTGTCAGCCTGATACTGATTCTAGGAATCCCATGGTTTTGCAGCATACATTGCTTTCTTCATTACTGTTCTCTCTCTCAAATTAGATGCTAGGCAAAAAAGATACCCAGGGAGCTCTGCCACCCATGACACCTGCACAGCAGGCACAGTCTCCTGCAGGCTTTTCCTTCCTCCCCATCAGTCCAAGCAGCACATCCATACCTTGAAGCTGCTTCTATGAAAATCAAGAGGAGAGCTCAGCCTCCAATCTGGCACATACTGCTTTGATCCCTGCAGCTGAGAGGTCTGTAAAGTTCACTGAAGTTGGGCTGATGCCCTCTTCTTCCCTGCTCCACATCATTGTGAATGGACACTGAAAACCAGCCAAATGGGAATCAGTTTTGCTTCAGCCTCACTGAACTGGAAAAAGGAAGAAGATGGGCTATCCCAGGTTTTTCCACTACTTTTCTGGCCATTGATGAGAACAGATCTTGAATACACATGGCACTTTCCTTAAGACCTGGAAAAGAAGAGAGGATTCCCTGCCCATCCTGCCTTGAGTAGGACATCTGTATTGTGAGCAACCCAAGCTCGTATTGATCTGCCAGACTTTGGGGTGCCAGGCTTTGTCCCACGTTTTGGAAGCATTCTGCTGTTGTGGGATGGCAGAGAACTCATCTCCAAAGAGTGGCTGCTGTGTGAGCCCCAGCTCTGAAATTGCTATTTTTTTGTGAATATGGTGATGATGTGACAAAAAACTGATCTTCTGACACCAAAAGAGTGAGTAAAAAGGTAAAGCAGGGCATTAACCAGAAAAACAAACACACATGTGAGGAACTGGTGAGAAAGGAGATGGAGGTTTAAGGTGAATGGAAGGGTTCTGGGACACCAAGGTTTGTTACCAAGGAAGGTAAAGACTGAGAAGCAAAACATATTGTCAGGGCTGGAGCGTGCATTTTGAGGACAGCACTTGGCCTTGGGTGATCTCCTATGTGTTTCTAAGAGCCATCTTTATGATCTGAGGCAGCAGGGCCTCAGGCCACTATCAGATGTCCCCAAAGTAGCAGAGTCAGCAGTGTGTGCTGCTCCAGGAAAGCAGCCAACAACCCCAGGGACTGTGACAGCCAGGAGGTGGCTGTGTAAAAACATGGGCAGTACACCAGACCTTTGCTCTGACTCTGTTTGGGACACTCTCACTCCCCATCCCAGGGCAGGCTGTGTTTTAGGTGTCTTCACCTATTACATTTATGGCTTCACATCTTTGTGTGAAGGGGCTGAATTGCTGCAGAAGTGGAAAACAGGCTGATGTCCCAGGACTAAAGCTCTTGCAAACACCTTTTCAGTGCATAGACCAGATTACACTCCTCTTTCCACTAAAGCAAGACAGAATCTGACTGTAAACAGTCTAGGGAAATAGACCCCTTAATTCCAGTTCCTATCATTCCATCATAATTTCTCCCAAGGGAACTGATACAGCCAACACATTGTGTGGGAAGCCCTGAAAATGGACACATTTCAAGTTAAAGTAGACATCTGAATGCTCTGCAGAGTTGGGATCTGAGCTGTTAATCCACCTCAGGGAACAATCCAGCATGTACCAGGAAATGTAGGGCCAGATCATTGCAATCTTTGATCTCTGTGATTCAAAAAGGCTAAGAAATTTCACTTGCAAAACTCTTTCTACAGCAATATCTGGGATTCAGTAGTGTGCTATTTTTTTCAGCAATCACTTTGATTCAGACTCTGGTTCATGCTGCCATGTAAATCCTTAGCAAATTCCTGTGGATTTTCATGAGTACAACAGAAGTCAGGACCTGGCCCACTCTAAGTGCAAGTGAACAAATTACTTTGACCTAGATCCTCTAAAAAATCTGGACACTTAAGTATAGTTACAGTGGGAATCAGGCAGCTTTGATACTGGACATGCCCTTATTTTGCTAGGCACAATACTTCTTTCTCCCATCACTTTAATTCCTCGGGAGCAATGGGGAAAACCACAGTCACAGACTACACAAACCAAGAGCCAGGTATTGTATGATTGTAATGGAAGGTAAAGTCACTCCAAAGTTAAGCCTTTCCAGGGCATCATTCATATAAAGAGGTTTGCACACCACTTAAGAAGCACAGAAGAGATATTTATTATACGATGGCCATCAGCTTCTTTCCCCTGCAACAAAGATAAATTCACCATCACTTCCAAAAGACATTGACCCAAGTCCTGTACTTCCCCAGCAGTTTTCATTGCCAAACCAAGGAGTTAGGAGCAGCCAACTACAACAGCACACACTGCCCAGGAGCCACCAGAGTCAGACATCCTTTCCAAAGCTGGAGTCAAATGCAACCAAAGCAAACAAGCCTAATCACATCAACAAAGTCATCCGTTAATGAAAACACATCCCACAAAAGCGTGAGTTGTTAAGTGCTAGTCTATTCCAAACACCTCAGAGGAAAATTCATGCAATCTGTAACACTTACATCAGAGTCCCATAATATTTACATAGAGAAAAAGAAAGAATAAACTGTTAGGAGAAAACATTTGGGTGCAGAGGGGGAAGTAACATTGTTTCAGAACACAGAAATATTCATCTTTGCTTTTATCATATCTGTCATTCAGCTGGAGTTTATTAAACAACAATTAATGTTTTTACTTTCTGCTGGTAAAATGCAAATGTACTTAAAAACTACTGATTTTCTGTGAAATTCTTTTCTTCCCTGAAATAACCAAAATAAATATTAAACTATTTTTAATTCTCAAAAAGAAAATCACAAATTGGTATTCAGAAATACCAGTGCAAAGTAATGCAAACCAGCCCTGTAAAAATTTGTTTCAGTATTTAGTAAAGAGAAATTTTAAGGAACAAAATGCCTAGAGCAACAGGAAATTGTTGTTTGTTCTTTAATTTCAATAAGGTTAAAACAAATCCCCTGAAAGAGACCTAGAAGCAAAACTGGCTAAGAACCAAAATAAAACCACCTATACCATTTAATTGAATTAGTTCAGAGATATACAATCAGCCCCCTTGACACAAAGTCAATTAGTGTTTTTAAAGCACTTTCCACTGTAATAACTCACGTGCACTTTTTAGCATACCACAAAGAAGGGGCTGGATTCAGCTAATAGACCAATAAGGTGATTTGTTTAAAGCACAATCAAGTGGATTTCCCATCCAGGTCCTTGGTGAGCTGCACTGCTGGTTGTGTGTCATCTGTCACCTCGTGGAGCACAACTCTGCAGTGCACACCCAAACCAGACCCATTCATCACTAATGTCCCTGCACATTTCTTACACTGCCTGAGGCTTCTGATCAGCATTTTAGTATTAAATGCCCCCTCAAATACTTGCAGTCCTGATATACAGCTGAGTCTTCAATTCATGATAGATATGTTTATTCTCTGCAAGAATTGAAATGGTTTCTCCCTCTCAACCATGCCCCAGGTCTTTGCAACAGCACCTAAGAGACATTAGTTGAGAGAACACCACCAAACACAATTTTGTTACTTCTTAAATACTGGTCCCGAGCAAGATTGTTTAATATTGAACAGCGTTTAAGCATTTGCCAGGCATTGCCAAAAGACAAACAGATACCCCTGGAGATTTTCACTCTGTCCTCTCTGAAAGGGAAAAAGAGCTCTTATATAATTGTACCATTGTTCCTGAATGCTGCAGCCTGACTTTCCACAGAACACAAAGGAGATAAATCAGAAACTCGGGTAAAAACCTGGAAGGAGCTCCACCAGCAAAGGCCTGGCCCTGAACAAAAGCAAGAGGAGCTGGCACAGGAGCTGTCAGAAAGATGTGCTGGAGTACATCTGTCAAACAGGCTTGTGTTTTAGTGAAGCTGCCCAGAGCAGAGGAGGATGAATGTCCTGAATTGCATCAATGCTTTGTCATGTGCAGACCATGAGGCCAGGGGGAGTGATCCAAGTGGGCAGGAAAGGGCTCTCCAGTGGAGCCAACAGCTTCAGCACAGAGAAACCCACCACTGCTGACAGGGACAGTCCAGAGCAGAGCCCATCAGCACCAGCCCACCACAGGGACAGCCCATCACTGCTGACAGGGACAGCCCCAGCTCAGGGGGCTCAGCCTGGCCTTCAGGCTCTGCAGAAATGCACACTCCATGGCACCTGCAGCCCTCATCCTCATGATACCTTCTCTCAAAATATCATCTAGGGAGCAGAATGCTTGGACTTTTGCTCCACCAGCCCGTGCTCTCCTAAGAGCTGTGGAGGTTTCTGTGAGTCAGGGAAATAACTGAGTTTGACCTGCAAGACCATTAAGACAACTCCTCCTGCCAAAAAGACTGCACCAAGGCTCTAAAGCAGCCTTTAATATCCCTGCTTGAGGAAAGACTTGACTATCTGCCCATTTAGATTGTAAACTCCTTGGAAATAAGTACTGTTAATGATGGGACTCTGAAATTTGCTACACTAAAGTTTGCACCAAGAAAAGACGAGTACCAATAGCTCAAGGCAACTTAGTCCTAGCTAAACAAAATTAGATTCTTTCTTTCCCCAGCTTTTTGTGGCACTGAAAAATGTTCACATTACATAGTCAGCTCTCCAAGCTACCAAAGATGCACTTACAAAGGAGCATTTTAATGGCAGGCCACTGTCTGAGAGTGCATTAATGCATCTATTGCCTTGGAGACAGAGAAAGGGCAGCCTGTGGAAGCAGAATGAACCCTCTATGACATAGAGCCTCGGCACGTCCCTATTGACATGGACTAAGGGACTGGATTATGTTGGAGAGGGGGGCAGGAATAATAAAACAAGCCAATATAAAAAACAGGGTATGCAATTTCAACAAGTTCAAAATTATTTTGGGTCTAATTCATAAACATAATGGATTGATTGCTGCTTTAGCATCCTTTAACGACTTTCCTAAGATTACCTCATGACTGTTAAGCCCATAAGAATTCAGTGATTTTTTTATAAATAACACTTTGAAGTCAAATCCATAAAATAGGTTTAGGCTAAAATTAGAAAGGTTCTAATAAAATGCCCTGTGAATACAAGTGTTTCATGGTTGTTTCAATAGATACCACCTTAAACATGCTTCCTAGTCCTGCACAATGGCACACTCACCAGAAAAGAAAGGGTAACAAATCAAATATGAGGGTGGGTTTGCCACCCACGCAGGGTGCAAGGAGGCTGTGTCAGGCTAGAGCCATCAGCCTCCAAGCACCAGCACTGCACAGGGCTCTGGCACCAGGTGCAGGGCTGTGGGAAGGCACAGGTGGAAGAACTGTGATCCTTTAGTCCTTCTGCTGCTGTCTCCAGGTTGATTAGTGTGCAAAATAAACAAAAAGCATATGAGATGAGAAGGAGTTACAAAGGTCTTTTGCTTCCACCAACATGAGACACTGCCAGTCTGTATTTCTTTTTTCTCCCCAGACAAGCTGCTTGGCAGTCCCATCCTCTGGTATGCCCAAATTGGAGTTCTCCCACTCCTTTCATCTGTCACTGGGAAAAAATGCAGAAGTGACATGTCTGGGCTCTTAGCAACCGAGCTAACTGGCACAGCACTGAAAAGACCACCGGCAACTAAACCATTCACTGCACTCCGACGTTTGTAAACACAATAAACGCTGGGGACAGTGGGGACATTTTTCAAAAATGCTTCTGCCAGAGACTGAATCAGGAAGAGTCAGTTCAAGCCTATTTTGTCACACCAGGGTCTGCTGCTGGGCTTTGCTACATATCCTGTTAACTCAAACACAAATGTCCTCTCTGCTAATGGAGAAACACGTGCCAATCCTTAGGGAACACAGCAAAACAGGGCTGGGACAGGTGAGGTTTCGCTCTTGCTGCATTCCCAGTGGATTTACACCAGCACTGGGGGACATGGGGCAGAGGAGTTAACTGCACAGCACAGACATGGCACATCCTCTAGAAGATAAAGGAATTAAGTTCTTCTCCAGGGAAAAAGTCCCCATCCTTAGGTAGCACAGGTCAGTATGGTGAGAAGCTCTGCGATTCTTGGCATCAGCACACACACAGCTCCCAAACCCACTCACAGCCTGGCCTTCCCCTGCTTTGTTCCCCTGATGTTAGGAAACCCAGTGACCAAGAGCATCAGGAGCAAGCCAGGCTGGGGAATGCAGCCATGCCCAAAAGGGATGCATGGATACCAGGACACAGGAAATCCAGCACTCACCTCTGAGGAGTCGGCATACCGAGCAACACGTGCACACTGAAAGAGGAGCTGAGCATTAGGAACTCATCAGGTGAAGACACTCACTCTTAGAAAACACTTGGAACAACTTTGGAATGGACTTTATGGCCCTTGGGAGACAAATGTCTCCACTGACCAACATGGAGCACAGACTGGGGGGAATGTGCCTCATCCCAGGCTGTGTCCATATGGGTGTGAAGGATGGGGTTAGCTACAGCTCCCTGGCACTGTTCTCAGACCACTGAACAGAAGTAACTCCTGACTGGAGGGACCTGGATAAACAATGGGAGCATGGATGATGCATAACCCAGTGCAAAAGGCTGTATGATAACAAACACAGGGTGCAATATTGCCATTTGTAAGGCTATGGGCCTGGATTTTTTCAGTAGATTTAGAATTCTTGTAGGAGAAGTCTGGCTGCTGCAACCACTCATACAGCTTCTAAAGAAAGCTATCCACACAGCCCTGATCTTCCTAAACCAGAAGGGTCCTTCAGGAATTAATATCCTGATTGAATTGCCATAAGAATGAAAGCAACCAAGGAAATTGCATTGGACTATTTGGTGAAAGCAGGTGATTCATAACTGTTCATGAATGTGTGCAGTTTACAGCTTCATCTTGAGCACAGTTTGTCTTCCAGGAAACTGTTTAAATTTCCAGTTTTAGCCTTTCAATTCAATGCTCACAGTGGCATCAATGACTCCACATTAAAAAAAGTTTTTGAAGAAGAAAAAGGCTCCAGCTTTGTGTGATTTTTTTTTAGTTATGATTATCCTGCACTGGAGACACTGGAAGTTCTTCCATAGTTTCACAGTCATTTTAAAACAGCACTATTTAAAGCACATGTCCCACTGCCCCTTGCACTCTGGCCTCCACCTTCCTTGTCCCATTGTTGTTGTCTGTGCTGCAGTTCTCTACTGACTTGAGGATCAAGAGCAACCTGGAAGCAAGGGATAGCATTTAACTTTAACCAATTCCTTGACTGGGATCAGCATGCAAAAATAAGATTTAAATGCATCCAAAGGAAAAGACAGATGGGCCAGAGGCAAGCAGCTGGGTTATACCCTTTTAGTGGGAGTGCTGCCTCACATTGGCTGGATGCTGCTGTGAAACTATGGGCTTCCTCAAGAGATCTGCTGTGGGTTCAGCCTCTGATTTTACACGGAAGGAAGTTGATCACAGTTTTATGACAGTTTATTCTCTGAGAGTTCAGACAACATACATCTGGGTTGTCCTCACACATCTTTCTGATTGATGGGGACTGAATACCCAAACACATCCTGACTGCTGATGTTCCCCTGCCTTTGTTCTGTACTGCAAAGCCTTTGGTCCTTTAGCACAAGACCAGAAAACAGCTTTGATTCTCTCCTGCTCAGAGGAATGGAGAGTATCAGAAAGCACACTGTCCATTTCTGCTTTGAAATCATTCCAGATAGGAATGATCTTAACCCGGGATAAGCTTAAGCAGAAAGAACATTGGGTTTGGGCAATACAGAGGTTGGCTCCATTGTTTGTGATCTTCTGGCCCAGGCAGCATCAGCTCTGGACACTGACTGTCCTGTGATGCAACACAAATTAAGGCAATACTATAAGGTTAAGAAGTGCAAAAAGCTCCTGTTAATAAAGACAAGTCGGTATGTGGATTGTTACTGGACACTTGCCAGAACAACAGGATTCCCTTGAAAAATATTTGGAGATGTTGTTCTGGAACTTAAGTTTTCCATAACAATGCATAGCCACATGACATTTACAGTTCCCAAAGGAAAGAGGCAGCTCTGCCTGTGGAAAAAACACAGATTGGAACAGGCTCGAAGTAAAATGTCACAGTCCATCATCTGGGTGCCAGGACAATAAGCTGAGAAATGCTGAACCGAGAGTGAAGTGAAAAATCAGAAGAAGAGGTGGTGGCCTCCTAGGTGGAGGAAGGGGATCACTGTGAGTCCTTGGTGCCCATCAAAGGAAGGTGTGCACGTTTCCCTGGAGCTGGTGCCTCCCAGGATGTGCTGTTTGTGGGGTCAGCAGCCACCCATAAATCACAGCAAAAGCAGCCTCTGCCTCCTCATGTCACCTGGGTGTGGCTTTGACTGGGTGTGAGGAGAAGGGCATTTGTGTGGAATGAGTGTGAACACACCTAGAGCCACTGTGTGCTGAGCAGTCCCACTCCTGCAGAAGGACAATCCTCACAGCAGAGCTGCACAATGGACAGACACCACTAAAAGGCTGCAAAGACAGTAAATGGTAGAGGGGAAAAAAAGTAGCAAAGGGTAGAGAAAAAGGAGCAATTCTCCTTGTCTCAAAAGCAGCTCCTGCTTATTCCATTTCTTGGCCTCATAAGACACTCTTCAGTTGGCAAACAAAACCCTTTGCATGAGATCATCACAAAATGCCAAGCTCTTCACAAAGTACTTTGTGTCAAGAGGGGATTCAGAGAATCACAAATCCATCTAAGCAGCACCATTCACATTATAAAAATAACAACAGTGGAAACAAATCAGGCTGGGTGTTTGTGTAGCCTGGTCTTACAGCCAGCTTTTGGCCACAGCCACAGCCCACTGGTGTCAGGAGAGCCTTTTCACATGCTTCAGTGGGCTTGGAAACACGCCCAAGAGTTGTGAAATCAGAACCTGAACTGCTGCTGGTGCTCACAGGGGGGCTGGGGGGTTTAATACCAACAAAACTGAATTTTAGCACTCCCTTCTGTGCAGGAAAGACAACCGACCTTTCTCTATCTCCCTGTCTTTCCAAATCACTTTCTTTCAGATATCACATCTGCTCTTAAACACAGTTACACAACAGGATTGAAACCAGCAACACCAAGTTCCACACCAGGTCTGGCTGTGTTTCCATTGTTTAGGGAATGGGACCCATTTAAACAACTCTAAGCTCAACCTAAAGAGCTCTGTCTTTTCTTTGCCTCACTGCCCTAGGTCAGAGTATGCTTCCATACACCATTTGCTCTGCAGCAAAGCTGGCTTGAGGAGCTTCCAGTTCCCGGCCTCTTGATCTCATATCTCCCTGAAAGTCTCCCAAAACAGAGATCTTGGAGGCTTCCAATAAGGCAGATTGGCACGTTGGCTCAAACTAAAAATAATCCCTCAAAAATAGTACAAGAAAGTATTTTTAAAATACATCAAAATCAGGATTTCTTCCTCTGAATTCACAGCTCCCTACTGCCAGACAGCTTGAATAGCCAGAGCTGGGTTATTCCATCACTTTAGCACCAAAACAGATCCTAATCTGTATGGGCTAACAGAATCACAGCATGGTGTGGGTTGGAAGGGACCTTTAAGATCATCTCGTTCCATCCCCACTGCCATGGACAGGGACACCTTCCACTGGACCAGGTTTCTCTAAGCCTCATCCAACCTAGCTTTGGACACTTCCAGGGATGCTGGGCATCAGCTGCAACCAAAGTTCCCCTGATAACATAATGATAATGAAAATAACAACAACAGTAATATAAAACCCAAAGAAATTCTTCAGCATAAAAGAGCAAAGATCAAGGGACCACCACAGTGCAAAGCCACCACTTCTAGCTGGTATTTACAGCAGACCCAAGTGGAGTCAGCTCTCAGTATCCTCCATGACAGGTCCTGTGTGATGACAGGGGTTTAGCTTTTATTGGCTAATTTAGTTAACGTGCATTTTTATGTCCAGACGTCATTGTTCCAGCTATACCTTAATTCTAACCATATGATTTTCAGAGCTCTCATCAAAAAGGGATGGTGTTTCTGATGTGCTTTTCTTTCCTGAGTGCTTCATCTAAAATCCTATAATAATGAGGGAATTATCCCTCAGAAACCAAGCTCTGCTGTCTTGTCAGTCAAAGAAAACACACCAGGTAAGAACACGGCTCTGTGCTCTTCACTGTGAGAGTCACCTTTAAGCCCAACCCTCAGCTAATTCTCTCAATTAGTGTGGACACAAAGAGATCAAGGAGCAGGCACAATTCTAGCTGGCAGCAGTCAAGGACAATCAACATAAGCCTTCTTTGAATTACATAAAACCTTAGTTTTTGTTTTGGGAATCATTATCCTCCTATTTTAAGGTTTCTCTTAAAAGACCAGGAATAAAACACTTACAAAAGGAAAGGGTAAGATGTTTCCTTTTTTTTAGTTCTTTTTTTAATATTGCTAACATAATTTGTGGATTGGCAGTGGGACTAGGATGGAAGGGAAAAAGAGAAGGAAACACCTCTAAACAGCAAAAAAAATCAAAACAAAGGTATTTACTTTATGTCTGCTTTGGGGAGCAGGAGGCTGATGTAAGAGGTGATAGAGCATCTGAAAAATAGAAGCAGGTTCTGTAATTCTTAGAAAAGTTGGCTATTTAAAATGTGAACACCCATGCCAAACATAATCTGTGTCATTTTTGCTGACTCCATCTGATGTCACACTATGACCCACTATCTCTAAAGCTCGGAAAAAATAGAGCAATTCAATGTTTCTGTGAGGCAGTGGGGACAACTGAGAGGGACATTTATGTCATCTGAGGGCTTTGGGACAGGGGAAAGGGCTGTGTGTCAGCTGTTCTGTAGTGACTGCTAATGCACATTCTCACATATGCATATATTAAATGTATATATGGCACACTAATGGGCAGAGGCAAATTCTGTCTATCCCTTGCTTATGTCCAGCTCTCCAATTAAACAAATATGAAAGGTGGAATGATGGAACTATGTCTGGGCTCAGTGTGCCTAGAGCAGTGTCATGTCACCAGAATATGGCCCTCAGGATGTGACACAGTTTGGCTGACACATCACACTCTTACACACACACACACTCACAAACACACACCAGCTGACTCTGACCAATTCTCCCCTCCAGACATTCTGGTTACATACAAAATGGTGCCCACATGAAACAGCACAGGGTCTGGAGAGACCAGAACTGTATCTTTCACTTAATGTGATTAAAAGTGAGAGCAAAGCTCATGGCTGAAGCCTCCCAACATCTGCAAGAGGAGTTTGTTTGAATTCTCTGCAGGTGGAGAATTAGGCACCTCAATGAAATCACCAACTGAAACGGGACAGATAGAGGTCTTGGAAGATTTTGAAAATTTGTGCAGTTTCCATTAAAAAAAAATTAAACTCAAAATCTCAAATTACTTGAACCCAAAAATTTGTGATAAACACTTAGGCTGAGTTCAAAAAGTTTATGAACAATTTTCCAGAGATTCATTCTGAGAGATGCTTGTACACTGTGGATACAAAACCAGACCAAAATAAAAAACCCTTGTGTCTTGAGACAGGAGTTTGTGGTCAGGTGAGCTGACTTCACTGTCTCAAGACCAAAATTATAAAGTCTGCTCTACTCAACACGGAATTAAGATAACCAAATTATGGTTTATTGTGGCATTATTTATTTTAGTCTAAATATGTGACTTTTAAGACTTTTATATTCTGTGTGCAAACACTTTATTTTCAGATTGATTACTTCAAGAGAAGTGTACACAACACCTTATATAAAGATGAGAATAAAATCACTGTGCACCAACATTTCAGTTTACCCATAAAGAAAATGTATTCAACAGATAATGTTAAAAAAAAAGGAGAAATCTGATTCACAGAATTTGTAAAAGGCTTGAAGGATACTCTTTAGGAAGGATGAAACGAGACATTTCTAATACCATTCCAAAACTAACGCAAATTAGAAGGGGTAGCAACTACCCAGGCTTGAAACATGCAAGCGTTTGCACAGACCTCAACACACACAAGTTGAAAGTGCTGAATTTCTGACTTGCCAGCATATGTTTCACAAGCTACCAAGTGCAACACGCCTGCAACTTTCTGTGGCTTCTCATCACAGCACTGGAGTTGAGTGATCTTTGGTGGTGTGTGGGAATCCTAGAAGCCATCTGGAGCCACCTGCTTAGGACAACCCTCCATGTCTCAATTTTTGAGATCTAATCTACAAAGCTATCTCCAATTAAATGCTTTGGATTTGGACTCAAAAAGATTTCTTTAACCAAGCTTGAAATAAACTTTTTAACTGACTCCTCAGGAATGGGCCTTATTTACAGCATGATATTTCTTCCCTTTGTTCTTTCAGAATTACAAAACAAACCATTGTCCTTAGGAGACACAGTTTTTTCAGCATGGCTTGCAGCCCCCAGCCCAGATTTCCAGCTCAAGTTGCAAAGACTGAGTCTGGCTTCTCTGCATGCTCAAGTCCCATCCTTGGTACCAGCCAGGAATAGTAACCATCAAATGATGATCCTGTTTTTTTCTCCTAAGTGCCAAGGGACTCAACAGCATGTCTGTGTCCTGGGAATTCTGGAATGTGCTGCCTGCAGTGTCTGTTTCTCTCTGTTCCTGCCAAGGGCATGACTTCATTGAACAGTGTGATATTCCAGACAACACAACACTGAAAATAACACTGGCACTTACCTGAGCTGCCAGTGCCTTCTGATGCACTTCTGGATGGTTTTGGGTGGCTCTGTTTGCTACTTGTTCGTACAGTGACCGAAGGAGGAACAGTGCTGCTGCTGTCCCCACGAATCGTCGACAGATCCTGCATGCTAAAGCTCCGTAGTCTCTCAGACAGGGCTCCCTGTCCCTAGGTAAACAAGCAAGTAAATAACACAAAGTTAGAGCCAACATTTTGAGACTTTTTTTTTCTCTCTTGTTCTTTGAAATCCATCAGGACAATAGGAAGAGAAAAAGATTGTGTGGTCCAGTAACCTAGAGATGACAAAAATGTGTTGCTAAAAGCATTATTCCCTCTCTTGGCTCTTCCTTTTGGAGTGATTCTGTGACAAACATCTCTGATTCTTCATTGCAGTGATCTGAGCACAGAGCAGCCTTGGCCACATGTAAAGGAGCAGGATGTTGTTGTATCTTTCTAGTAGGTACTTTTCTTCACTAGGAATGAGTCAGATGCTTGGCTCCAGAATCACAGTTAAATGGCCTGCATCAAAAGAATTCCCTTTTAAAGTTAATTATCTATGATGATATTCACCCAGACATTCTCAGCAATACACAACATTTTCAGAGCACAGAAAATTTGAATTTTTGAAGTAATAAAAAGATATTATTAAATTCCAGGAAATACAATGCATTTTTTCATGCAGCTTAAGGAAGAAATGAACTAATGCAATATTTTTCTTTCTTTTTTACACTAATTCTCAATCTGACAACAAAGATATTCTTTGGTGAAAGGAATGTAACTGTAAAGGATGTGTTGGTTAAATGGCACTTTCCATTAAAACTGCATCCCATAAAAAGTTTGACTGTAAGTATTCTGCAACCCTCATACTGCACCACAGCCATAAAGTAGGAACATCAGAAAATTCAATCCATACAGAATCATGGAATTTTTGAGCTACATTAATGACATTCAGACTTTAAGCTACATCAATGACATTCAGACTTTAAGCTACATTAAATACATTCAGAATATAAACTGCATAACTGATAAAAATTACATTTATGTTTTAACATTTTATTGAGGGGGAGGATCTGAAAGATGCTTCATAGCACACAGTCTTGAAAAAAATACTGAAGTAAACACACAGAGCCTGATTCTAACATTCTTTCTGCAACGGTAAATTAGGAAAAACTCAATGGATGCTTTGACTGAGATGAAATCAGAAAGAAGGCAAATAACAGACAGTAAATATTGTCCTGTTTAACAAAAAGATAAGGCAACCTGTAGCAATTCACCTACCACTTTCATCTAGACTTGTGTTTGCCCAAGCAGCCCAGCCTGCCTGCTGCCAGAGGACTTGGGCTGGACCAGAACATGCCACTGCTCCCTTCTGGGCTGCAGTTTTGAGTATCCTGACCCAGGGTGCAGATCAAGGCCAGCCGAGAGCTCACACTGGTGCTGGCCTGGCAGAGAGAAAGGACTCATCCTGAACAGCTACAATCAAAGGTAAGACTGGCCACATTCCTTGCTAAAGCTGTTAGGCAACACTGCTTGTCCCCTATGCACTGGCATTGATCCATTGGGAAGGCAAAGCAATAATTTACCTACTGATTTATCAACACCACTTCAGAAATTCTACATGCACACAGTAAAGGAAAATCAGTGCCTCCACCTCATACAAATTCCTCAGCACCTTACTTTTAGGGTGTGTAAGTACAGAGGGCATCAGGTGCTCATACCTACAGTCACTGTGACAGTCTGCACTTTTTACATTCAAGAAAAGTGACAGACCAGTAATCTCTAACTTTTCAGCCTGAAGTTTTTTGTACAAGAAAAATGAGTGCAAACTTCCTTCTCAACTCCACATTTAGCTTTCCTGCAGACTATTACACAGAAGCAGCAGACTTACTTTGCTCTTTCCCACTATCCTATTCTACTTTTGAAAGTATTTTAAACCAAAGGGGCTTTTTGCTTATATACCAAGACATATTATGTTGCTGATTTTATATGGATGGCAGTGGAGTGGAGTCCCCAGAACTTAAGTTTTGCTGAACTCTCACCTCCACCCTCACATTCTCCAGCCTGGCACAAGAGTTGATGCCCGAATTTTGGCTGCTCCTGCCAGTGGCTGAGCCACTCTTGGGGTATGTTCTCACTCCAAGAGGCATCTCCAGTTAATCCTCTTGGGCCAGTGTAAGCTACATTTACTCTGCAAATGTTACAGGGCTGGTAACTGCAGTTGCCTTGCATGGCTGCTCAGCTGGGTGAGACCACAGCTGCCCACAGCTCAGTGCAGTTCTGGATGGGTTTTGGAACTTGCACTGAGCTCCTGCACAGACACCCTATTCTCAGTGACTGATTCAAAGCCAACACAAGATATCTTACCCTGCAGCCTGATTACAGCAGACAGATCTCCAGTGAGAGCAAGCTGACCATTAAATAATATTTTGCTATTGCAGAATGACTGGGCCAGCAAAGCCAGAGGGTTAGCAACTGATGAACTGTAACTTGAGTGCTGTATCCCTCCCTCACACTCAGCTCAAGTGGCAGCAGGGCTCAGGCTTTTAACCTCCCCCCAGCTGCTCTGCTCAGCCAGCTAACCCAAATTCCATTTCATTCCAGCCAGCAATTTATGTATGTGGACATGAGTCAAAATTCATGTGTCAGACCAACCTGGCAGGGAAGATGACACCAACACATTGAAAATGAAGAAGATGTGTTAATATTCTTGCACTGCACCTTGTGATATATCAGCATAGAATGATCAAAAGCCTCAGAGAGAGCTTTTAAACAGGGACCTGATATGTGCCTGTCATCTCTGGGTCTGTTACATCAGCATATAATAGAGAGCCTTGAGCACAGACTGAAGCAGCTGAGCTAAACAACTTAACTTTCTCCAGGAAAAAAAAATAACTAAAATTGCCTTTTCTTAATTTTTGCTTTAATGTAACCTGAATTCCTAACAGCAAAAATAAAGATGATTTATAAAATTGGTAATAGCAAAATATTATTGTTACTGTTCCTACCATTCTATGAAACAAATTTTCCAAATATCAGAGATGGCAAGAACAGCAAAGGCCTGACTGAAGGCACTGAACACCTGTGAAAACCTGCAGAGTTCCATTTCTTTCCAGTTTCTGCACCTTTGCCTTTGTAGGGATAGACTTGATTTACTTGCTCCTAGAATACAGTGTAACACTCACAGTTCTTTCCCAGTTACCACATTTTTACTTGACCCCAAATAGAAACATGACAGAAATTACCACAGAATGGGGATGGTTTCAGGGTAAAATGGAAAATATTGTTACCAACCTTTATTTCCCTGCCACATAAGCAGCTGGTGTATATGAAATCACAAACATTTGAAAATCTAGCATGGTGAGGGTTTGCAGAGTTTGTTTTAGAAGTAAAGACTTCATCTAGATGTAATGCTTATTATTCTACAAAAAGACTTATCATTTATTGGCAAAAGAAAATAACAAGTTAATAGCTTTATTTCTCAACAGAACCGATTTAGCACAGCACATGTTTTGGGCTGTGTTTTGTTAAAACAATCATGTGGAAGATGAAGAGCAGCTGTTTGGGGGATTTTTGTTTACTGCTGTGGCCATGATCATGCAGATGCTCTTCCAACTGCTACAAACATGAGAGATATCCCAGGAATTTCAGCACAGAGAGAGGATCCAGGTCCTGAAGCTATGCCCACGCTGCAGGCCAGAGGCATGTTTGCAGCACATCCACACAGATCTGGGCTAGCTTTATCCTGGAGAGTGTGACAGCAGTAACATCATGACAGGAGCTGTAGTAACACCATTTCACTGTGTCAACAGAGAAACAGCTTGATGTTCTCACACAGCCTTGTAAAAATTGTGACTGGGAGGGCTGTGGGACTAAGGATGACACCAACCCTCTCTCCCCCTCACTGAACACCAGCAATGGCCAGGAAGATTGTGCTGGCAGTGTGGCACCTGTGTTCTCAGGACTTTAGAGGACACAAACATGAAATGGTGCTGGAAAACTGAGCCTTATTTCCCTCAGCACAAGACTCCCTACGTGGACTCAGCTTCTCTTTAGACATGGACCATCCCTGTGGGTATGACACTTCTGATTTTACAGAGAGTGAGTTTGCTAGACAGTGAGGTTTTGGGGGCCACGGGTGGGAACAGGTGTCTCTCTGTTCCCTGATCACTATGATGCATCTGTCCCCTAATTCATCTGACAGGTGAAGGTACAGCACAAACTGAAAGTGGAGCTCTTCAGGCTTCCTTTGCCTCTTCTTCCCCCAGGATCTACCAACCTCACAAGTTCTCTTTTTACAGGAAAGAGCCAGGGCTCAGTGCTACTGAACAGGATAAAAGACAAACACTGAAAAGGACATGGTAATATCACTGCCCAGTGACTGCTATCACCTGGTATCAACCTTATTTAGATTCATGACTGCACCAACAGTATGAGGGCACTGGCCATCGAGACAAGCTGCAGAAGCTCATTTGTGATTCTAACGGAAGTTAAAGCTCCCATCCACGTGGCATAGTAATTAATCTAAAACTAATTTAAGTATATCTGATTTGGTCAAAAAGACAGCTGCAGTATAGACATTCCTTCCTCACCCACATCTAGCACATTCCCTCCTTTTTGCTTTAAAGAGAATGACAAAACAGTATTAAAACACTGAACTTCCAGAGCCAGCAGCCTGAACATTGCCTTCCTCTTCATGTTGCAGACATCACCATCTCCAGAAACAAACAACCTCTCTGGGTCCAGAGCAAACACTGATGCAACCAATATTTGCCTGAAAGGATCAGAAATACTTTCAAAAACTGAAATCTGCATTGTGACAAGCACTGTAAAAGGCATTCCATCAGAAAGAGCTGGAACTGTCTTAATTTCTTTTACCATTTTAAAATCAGTCTCTGCATTCCCATTTGAACTAAAACTTTTTTGAAGGAGATACATTTAGGAGTCTGGGAAAACTGGGTTTACATTCAATGGAATTATTCATTATAAATACTTCATGTACATAGGTAGCTAAAACTAAAGTAAATAAAATCAAGCATATAATTTAAAAATCTGCAATTTATATAACCGTCCCATTGAATATGATCTAAATATAAACAAATAACAGTGTCTAGATTTTATCTCTCTTTCAGTCTGAAAATATGAAAGAATTCTGTAAACATTATTTAGGC